ACAGGAGTAGCTGGGACTACAGGAGTAGCTGGGACTATAGGAGTAGCTGGGACGACAGGAGTAGCTGGGACTACAGGAGTAGCTGGGACTATAGGAGTAGCTGGGACGACAGGAGTAGCTGGGACGACAGGAGTAGCCGGGACTATAGGAGTAGCTGGGACGACAGGAGTAGCTGGGACGACAGGAGTAGCTGGGCCTACAGGCATGCATCACCGTGCTCAGCTAATTTTTCCTATATATTTTTAGGTGTCCAGCTAATGTCTTTCTATTTTTAGTAGAGAGAGGAGGGGGTCTCAGTCTTGCTCAGGCTGGTCTCGAACTCCTGGCCTTGAGCGATCCTCCTGCCTGGGCCTCCCAGAGCACTGGGATGACAGGCGTGAGCCACCGCGCCCGGCCAGATCAGGACTCCTAACACTCAGTTGACTCACTCTTCTAGGATAGAGCTAATGTGAATCTCCCCTCGCTGCCTCACCCACACATACACCTAGAGATCTTCCAAGTGTAACTGGAGTGTAAATAAACCAAGCTGGAGAGAAGGAAACTTCCAGATTACAGAGAACGACAGAACTGAAGCTAGTGCTAAGTCCGGGGCTCCCGCCATGGTGATTGGGAGTTTAGGACAGAGAACAGAGTTTATCAATCGTGCAGGGCAGGAGACAGAATGATACCAAGTTGGGGAGCCAGAACTGAGATCCCCAATACACACCAGCCCCCCCAGGACCCGGGAAGGGTGCAAAAGCAGAGTTGGAAACCTCAGCCCGAGGAAGAGGCAAAGCTTCTGTCCGCAGTACGGGTTCGGGACTTTATTGTGTGGATTTGAAGTTTATACTTTACAGGGTGCAGAAATCTCTGCCTTGATGAATTTAGCGTTATAACCCCTGGTAACTCCTGGCGCAAACAAAGACGAGACCACTCTGTAGGGACGTTTTTGTTTTTTTTTTTTTTGACGCCTGGGCTAGAGTGAGTGCCGTGGCGTCAGCCTCGGTCATTGCAACCTCCAACTCCTGGGCTCAAGCGATCCTCCCGCCTCAGCCTCCCGAGTAGCTGGGACTACAGCCATGCGCCACCATGCCCGGCTAATTTTTTCTGTTTTTAGTCGTTTGGCTAATTTCTTTCTATTTATAGTAGAGACAGGGTCTCGCTCTTGCTCAGGCTGGTGTCGAACTCCTGAGCTCAAGCGATCCTCCTGCCTCAGCCTCCCAGAGTGCTGGGATGACAGGCGGGAGCCACGACACCCGGCCTCTAGGGACGTTTTTTGCAACCTCGGAAGGGAAGGTGAGCTCACGGTCCCAAGAGGAAATAACGCACCACAAGAAACGCTCGCAATGACTAGAGGTGTCTTAAAAAGGAATAGAAACCGTCATGGAAAAGGGACCGTGTGAAAAATGAGGATATGGAAGATTCCAGAAGTGAAAAAACGGCATCGAAACGAAACCGAGCGGTTCAACTGCAGCCGAAGAACGCAGTCAGCTGCAAGAGGGGAGCAGATTTCGTAAGAGAAAACTTAGAATTGCGGAAGACCAGCAAACAACATCGTCGCAGCAGCTGGAGAGAAAAGACAGGTGACTTGTAAAGGGACAATGGAGAGACCGCCGGGTTGTCACTGGAAGGGAGGGGACGACTGCAGGGAGCTGCGGAGAAGGACCGTCTCCTGTGGAGGTCACGTGCATGTGACCGCAAGCCTCTCCTGTTCTAGAAGAGACAGGTGTTGGAGAGTTGAGATGTGGCTTCTTCCATGGCCGTTTGGGCTGAGGGATCCCTGGGTCAGAGGCCGGTACGGTGGAGCCCCGTGTGCGCCACTAAGCTGGCACCTCGAAGGGACGCGGTGCTCCGGTAGATCCTTCTGGAAAACCCCACAGGGCACTGAGCGGAGTCCGCAAAGAGCAGAAAATGCCAAGTTCCCGAGAGGCTGAAGCAGAAGCCTCGCTCTGGAGCTTTTGCAGCCAAAGACTAGACATCAACGAAAACCACCGTCTCGGGACAAAGGCATCTTCGTTCTAGAACCTGCGGAATCCCCATGCATTTTTCAAGGGCTTTTAGCAGCTCGCAGCAAAAGAAAATCAAAATGGGAAGACGAGGCATCCTGAGCCAGAAGCGGCGGAAACCTCCCCGGTGATGTCAGGGTGCTTCATCTGAGATGAACGAATCCCAGAGAACGCGCAGCCTGGCGCCCGTAGTTAATAATGCTCTTTGTGGACTTAAAAATTTGATGGCCGGGCGCGGTGGCTCGCGCCTGTAAGCCCAGCACTCTGGGAGGCCGAGGTGGAAGGCTTGCTTGAGGCCAGGAGTTCGAGACCAGCCTGGGCAACATAGCAAGACCCTGTCTCTAGCAAAAAAATATTTTGCTGAGAGGATCTTATTTTAAAGAGATCCTTATTTTAGGTGGATCTCATTTAAGTGTTCTTATCACAGAAAATAATAAGAGGGTAGGAAAAGACAAATAGCAAAAAGATTTGGTGAGAAGG